CCTGCACTTAGCACAGGGGAAGTATATGGTTCGCAGACCATATACTGCTGTACTGTAAAACTACACAAAGCACCTTACTTTAATTTTCATCGAAACAGTAATCTATTGATTTCCTCCTACCTCGCTTTGTTAGGTGATAGCACTTTCAGTGGGGAAAGCTGTCATTAGAAGAGCGCATTTGTTCGCGTTGTAATGCTTCTCCTCCCAGCGATTGCCGGATTTGCAAATACTATCGATCAGATTTTTACACAATTATAAGATCAGACGAAATAATGGAAGGCTAAGTTTGTTTCATGACATCAGTTCGATGCATAGAATGAGATATTGGCATTTATTATTGAGTTGCTTCATCGATCTTTTCAATGAACTAAGTGGTTTTTACAGTTTGATTTTCGTGTATGCGGCTGATTCTGGGCAATGGAGTATTTTCTCTATGTAGAAGCATTTGTAAAATCCGCAATTTCTCTTTGCTAAGCTGCTATCAGATTCATTTCTGAGCACTTCACACCCGCAAGAATTAAATAGATGATAGTGAACCACCTGATGACAATGTTCCTTTTTTCTAAACTACTCGCATCGATGAATTTCCTAGAAATGATTCTAAAACGGCCACACTTCCTTATGAGTTTGTAGAAATTGAGAACAATGGCAAAGTAAATAGTCAATTGTGTGAACTGCTGATGATCATCCTATTTACTTTGAGTTATGTACTTCTACCTTGGATCTAATGGTTTCGTTCTTTTAAACGGTGATTAAATAGTCTCCTACTTTTTTATGTTGAACAATTTGTGATTGGATCTGGGAAAAGCTTCATCACTTTTTGTTAATAATCCCATAAATTTCTCTACTGCACACTTTTACTCTTTCTCATCCAAGCACCATTCACAGATGTTACTTTTTAAATTGTTTACCTTAAATGATGGATTGCAGGAACAAGGTACGTATGCTGACTTTGTTGAAGGACTGAAAGTTTTCGACAAGGAAGAATGCGGCAAAATTCTTGCCGCTGAACTCAGACATATTCTCCTCGCCCTGGGAGAGCGACTCAGTGCTGATGAGGTATTGCATATGAAATCAAACACATCATATAATCAAAATTGTCAAATTGTCGAAACCAGTAACGAACCCCTTTTAGGTAGACGAGATTCTGAAGGGAGCTGAAGACGCAGAAGGCATGGTTAAGTATGAGGGTATGTTTTATTGGTGAATCTTGTTGTATCTAAAAAATTACGCACGAATTCCTTTGCAATTGGCACACCATCCGGTGGCAATGTTGTTTTTTGCCAACAGTTGTTCTATTGTGGTGAGGCTGTGTGTTGGTCGTGTTACAGCACACGACTCTGGCCAAAGGGGCTTTCGTGGAAAGGACTTCTTGTGTTGAATAGATTCAAGTGCACTTTTTAGGGCAGACCAGTGTAACTCCTCTTGTTTTAGACTTCATCAAGAAGGTTCTGGCTGGTCCATTCCCCGACTCAGACTGAAAACTTCACTGATGTTATGATATGATTATGTTCCTTGTATAAATGCGAAGCTGCTCTCGAGTTCCTAGTTCTTCCGAATCGTGCAGTGCCCGCCGCGGATAGCTCGAGGGAGATCGCCGAAGAGTCTTACGGCCCTTCGTCCCCGTTTTCCCTTTAGTGTCCGCCCGGCCCTCTTAACAGGCGTCTTTCGCCCCATCCAATGGCCCATCATTTCAGTAAACGTCGAGCATACTCTTTCTAGTCAGGCACAAATTGTTTTTAAAGCGACCGGACCACTTGATCCTGCTCGCTAATTCAATCTCGCTCTGTTCTTCTACTTCGTTCTTCTTTATGCTCAATACACCATCTGTGTCCTTACAAGTTCATTTCGTGAATACGTCGTCTCACGTTTTTATAACAAAGTTTTATGAATGTATGATCTGCTCATAATAAAAAAAGAAAAGCTTGGTGAGGAGGTATTGTGGTAATGTCGTTGACACTGAAAATAAATGGAAGGAAGTGAACGATGTGCATGTGCTGCAGGCACGTTGATATTCCATGCTTCCATGATTTCATTGACTCTATTTCCACCTACAATTTCAATCCGGTCAAAATTGATTAAACGAGTATCTGATGGGCATCTTAAAGTGGTTGGCCATGGCAAGAGTTTCAAGATAATTTTTGAACCGTGGAATTTTTTTGATTGAGAATAATTACGGAATTTTTTCAGCCTTAA